TCCCTGATAATTTTGTGTAGGATACCATCCTAAGCACTTTGAATATTACCTCTTTCATAACTTAGGTGCTAACATAGGTGTGAAAACCGATGTTCAGAGGAATTAAAAAAAAACTGCCCAAACTACCTCACTAGGAAATGTCATAGTGACATTAAATTAAGCAAAACAAATCACTAAATTTGGACTGTTAAAGCAGGTGGATAATTGTATAACAATGTGTAGCAACTGTTATTAAATATAAAGCCTCCTATAAAACCTGGATAAAAGTAAAACAGAATAAATTTTTAACCTAGTAGGAAGGTCAAAGTTAATTAACTTTTCATAACATCTGAAATATATTGAAGATTCAAATTTAGGTTCAAAACTAGAAGAAAAAGGCAAGAAATATTCTTCAAGGAAAATTATTTAATAAAATACAACTGTTAGAAATTATGTGATCAATTTTAGATACAAACCGAGCTTTGTGTCCTGACAGGGTTTACCTCTTTTCACTGGGACTTAGTGGGATAATTCTCAGTTAAGATTCAAAAAATAAGTTAAGTAACTTTACAATAGATTTTATACATCTAAGAGGCCTTGGGAAATCTGGCTTTAGCTGGGCAGTAATCAGCTCATACAGTGCCATGCCACAAAAGAGTGGTTATTTTTTTCCTTGATATATTTTGGAGGATCTCCCAACCAAACCTAGTAAATACAATCTGATATGTATAAAGTAAATTTTGATTGTTCTGAGTTACTTAAATTATGCTGATTTAGTAAAAACAATTTGAAAAAAGTTTACCCATGAAATAGTTAATTCTCCTATTAAAGCTACTCATAGAAAACTCATCAAATAGAAGATTATATAATTCAAAGTTTGAATGCTTATCTACAACTGACTCATATTAAAAGTCTCCTTTCAAAAGATCAACTCTATGCTAAAGAGAGAAGAATAACTCATGAGAAAATTTTCCTTTGGTGCCTTGAGTGTATTTTGAAAGTGGCTCAGCGTTTGCTTAGTGGAAAGAGTCGCATGCTTGTGCTCGAAGAGAAACCCTGCGTTGCCTCAGCACATCTTGAACTTCAGATGCGTGGGAGATTCTTTTCTCTCCTCGTCTGTTTTTTTATTCGAAAGCTTTACAAAGTTTTTTAACGGCAAGACCGATTTTAAACTAAGATTTATATCTTAGAATCTTAACTGCGATGGACACTTTGTTCTTACTCACTGTTTTAAAGCAAATTTGATGCCTTTTCTCTTCCAGCTTGTTTCCAGATTGGGATCTGTCCGACGGCTCATAAAAGGCACTCTTTGCAAGCAAATTTTTATTAATTACTTGAAACTATATTATTTCTCCATTTAGTATTTGTTAACCATGAAGCTTAAGCCTCACACTACAAACATGGTTACTTAGCTCATTTTTAAAATCTTAACTGAGATGGACAAGAATTTTAGTGTTTAAATTTATTTTAGCTGAAATAATATAACCATATAGTTAATATTAAATATTGGCAATAAACTTATAATACCTTATAAATCCTATGTAAAATAATTTAATATCAAAATATATTTAGAATGATTTAAAAGTAACTGTTAATAGGTTAACAAATATTTATTAGGTTTTAGATATTTAAATTACATTTTTAATATTTTGCAATGTAATATTATCTCAGCCTTAGGTCTAGGGCGACCTCAAATGATACTTTAATCACTTCAGCATAGTCAGTGTGGAGACTTCCATGGCACAGCTTGCAAGCTCCTTACGTGTCTCCTGGTCTCTGATGAATTCTAAGACAGCCCTAGGTTACAGTGGTCACCTCCATCACATGCATCCAAAACAGGAAGTGGCCCTGGAAGTTACATTTCAAAAAGTTTCTGAAGAGATTACACAGACTATGAGTGTCCACCGAGAACTTGTGTGAGTGTACGGAAGGATGGAGGAGGATGACAGTTTACACGGTGGTTCTGAGGTCTGGCTATGAATAGAACCACGTGAGTCATCTAATACCTGCTGTAATCAAAGAGAATCAGTTGGAGATGTGCCTTCATGCCTCACTCCACTGTGTTACAGGCAAATACTCTGAAGGAAGAGGAGGCGGCAGTTTGTTTTTCCCTGATGACATTATTTTATTAATTTGTGTATATGAGGGCAAACTTTTCTTACATAAATAAAAGTTGATCGTGCCTGCCTGGCAAGCACAAGGTCCCGAGTTCAATTCCCAGTACAAAAAAATAAAAATAAAAATAAAAGTTGAAGATCTGAAGTTTCACTCAACTCTGTTTTGAAAGATGCTGATCTTTTCTTGCAAGCAAATACTTTTTGGTATTATAACTTTTTTTGAGTATTTATTTCCAGTGGTATATTCAGATTGAGTTTATGTTGCAACATTTTAAAATTTTACTTCAAAATTAATAGTACACATTTTTCAGGAAAATAATTAAGCTCTTCTAAGGAGAAATGCATATAAAATATATCAATATTTCCTATTTATAAAATGTGTATGATAATTCTTAGCACTCATTAAAAACTGAAACAAAACAGTATACTCATTTTGTTTGCTAGTTCTTTCCATCACAATTTTTATTTTTTCTATTACAAAAACTTGTTTTGTTTTTCACATATACTTTAAAGCATCACTTATAAAAATGGAGTTTTTTTTCACTGATTTCAGAGATCTCTGATGAAGCACTTACAGCATAATATATAAATTCCAGAACTGTAATAATAGGTGACATCTATGACCAGTTCTTATGTGCCAAGAGTAGTGTTTAATGCTTAGCCTAAGGTTCTGTATTTAGTTTCTGTTTTTCAAATAAAGAGCTGAAGAGTTGGCTGGGAATTCAGTGGTCGCCAACCTGTAGCACGCATGTTGATTTTCTTTTGGGACAAAGAATGTTGGTTTTTTTTTAAACTAAAACTTTAGTAGTGCAGTGTTGACACTTTGTGATGAGAAAGTGAGTTTTGGGTTACAGTTTGGCCACTTATCTCTAAAAGGTTCACCTTTACTGGCAAATTAATGGAGCTATTTTATAACAGTCAGAGATTATGAGGGCAAAAGTTACATTTAGAAATATGTTAAAGAATATCTTTAGACACTGGCAGGTAATGGGCTGATGTATGCCATATTTAGCAGTGATTTAGTCATTAATATAGCACACATTTTTCACTAAACATAATTAAAAATGATGTAAAGGAAGCACATAGGAGACAATCTCAATATTATGCACTCACATCATGTGGTACCATAGACTAGATCCTTCACTTGTTCTGTTTGGCATGTGACTATGAATTAGAAGTCATAAATCTGAATAGTGGTTTTTATAGTAGGCTTCCTGGGGTCTAGTGGGTTTATGTGCAGCCACTATATTCGTGTTCATCACACCCTTTTGTTGAACAATGACAGGTGAAATTTTATTTACCAAATTTTCTTGATGAAGAATGGAGAAATTTAGGCACATATTTTTCATTAATTGAGCATAGCAACTTGATTGATTTCACTCTAGTTTATCTTTAAGACACAAAGACAAGAAATATTGAAATAGTGTTGTGTCATTGTTCTTACTTGAGTCATTTGCTGAGTTATACATTTCTCTTTTCTGGAAAGTTCTTTTGAGGGGGACATTAACACTGAGTGCCAAAGTTCTGCTAAGTTTAAAACAAAGACTACTGAGGGTCTGCCCTTGTTCAACAGAGGTATACCAGGAACAATATATTATTTCATCTCCAAATAGTCAAGAGAACAAAAATGGCTGCAGAGAAACTGTATTAATTGAGGCGTGAAGAGAAGCTATTTTAGTCCTTCTGACTCAAGGACAGACACATGCATTCAAAATAAAAGATTCTGTCAGGTTTAGAGATTTTTAACAATAGTAGCTGATGATCAGTGTGTAGAAGAGAAGCATGTGCTAATGATATTTTTTTGGACCAGACCAACTTGACCTTTGATTTTTCATGAAATCCTGCAGTAAAATGCACGTACTCCAATCTTCTCTTCTGCCTTCCCTAACAATTATTTTGATTACTATGACGTGAAAGTCTTTCTGAAAGGCTTTTGTGACTTGAAGGGAATTGGGAACCATGTTGTTCAGTGACTGATAGAAATATTCCAGAGCTGTGAACAAAGTAATAAAATCAAACTGATGTATCATTTAAAAATCTATCCCCGTTTCATGTTTCTGATCACTAAGCATGAGGACAGCAGCACACTGGCCACACGTAGATAAAATGTTTTCCTCATCGGGTAGAGCATTATGTCCTTTACCCTAGAGAACACATCTTCCAACACTTTTGATACATTTCCCATAATTCTGAGCACGCAAATTTCCTTCATAACAGATTTTAATGTATTACTCAAAGAATTATTTAATAGATCAGATAAAAACAACATTGCTAATTCTAACTTCATTCTAAGTGTTTAAAAATAGTACCTGCACATCCTTGCCAACAATGTATTATTATGAGCACATACAGCATAACTCAGAACAATGCCATCAGACAAGGCAAGCATCAGTCTGACCCAAATCTGCCGCAGGGTTCCTGAGCGTAGCGTTCAGTGTAGCAGTTAGTGTCAGGGAATTGGAGAAATAAAGTGAACAGGGAGAGAACTCAAATATAGATTTGTGAAGACAGCTTTAGAGAAAAGGGAAGAAACAGAGGGCAGTAGGTGAAAGCAAAATAAAACACAAGTGGGTAGACAGTCTAGAAAGTGTGAAGCTATGCTTTAGAGAAGTTTTAAAAGCCAGCTTGAACATTTTCTCTGTGATGAGAATGTGGATATTCACCAACAACTGTTCAGCTTCCACACAGCATACAAGCTGTAACGGGTACCCGATAACTGAATTGTTAAGCTCACAAAATAACCTAGGGGATATTTCAGTTAAGTTTTTTAAAAACCTAGATAAAAATATTCATGTAATGAAATGCTATGATTCTGAATATGAGGTTAAATTAGTGGGAATAAAACTAAGAGGACCCTTTTAATTTGAATTAATTAATATTGGAAACTTTTAGACATATACTTACCCAACAGATAGGAAAGGCTCCTTTGACTCAAGTCTGTGAAAAAATATAAAAAAATTTTAATATATCAATTTGTTGTCTATTCAAAAATTCTTTTTACATGATTCTAACAGATTATAATACATATTTGTATGGAAATACATAGCTTAGCTTAGTAAAAAGCTCCACATAATATATAAAAGCCAGATTTAGAGTAATTAAAATTCTGGCTTAATTAATGTAGACACTACAAATGAGAGGGGCTGGGAGTGGGAATGCGGCATTTTAACATCTTAAATGGTAATACTGCTAGTGGAAGTCCAGTGTGTACTCTCTATCTGTTCTTTTTGATGAGTGGTAATTTGTTTATAGAAATTTCAATATACCTATTTGTAGTTGTAATTGTGAAGAAATTTATAATGTGTTTGAATACATACTGGCTGAATAATTGATTTCCAGCATAAATATTCTGTAATGAAGACAGAAGAAGCATGTTATACATGATCGTTTGGTAATTCACTGGCAGTAACACCCTGGAAGAATGATATTATCAGGTAACACATTTTAAAGAACTGGATGTTTTCTGTAGCTCTCAATATATGAAAGATGAGATCTCGTGTAAAGTTCCTTCTTAGCTCAATATCTGGAGGAAACCACTTAAAGTAACCTCTGCAGCTTACTTTTCTCAACATAAAATGGGCTGTGATTATTCCCATCTAATGTTCTGACTTCATGAACTAAATTTATATGCTTCACAAAAAGTAAATAAATCATGTCAAGATCCCCCTTTCTAGATGTTTCCAAAACAATAATTGATACACCAGGTGATAGTTGTATATTTGGTCATGTTATTTTCATTATAAGTTTATTAGCATACTATTATGCATTAAGTATAGGCAAATATTAAAGATATCTAAAATAATAACATTTCACATTTTGAAATAGTTTTAGTATGTAAGTGTTTACAAGCAATTGGCAGGAAATTTAATTCCAGAAAACTTACTGAGCACCGTATGACTATGCTTAAATTCTAAGGTGGACAATTTAAATAAGTGGCTGCCTTAGAATTAGACTAAATCACTATTTCATCTGCATTTCATCATAATGTGTAAAATATAGTTGAATGGAAATTAACCTTGGTGAGTTGGGGCAGAGCTGGTACAATTGGGTGCACAACTCTCATAGAAGCAGGACACTTAGAACCTCCTAGGAATCCCATGTGACAGCCAGAGGTAAGGAGGAGGCAGATTAAGAGCAACAGCTGGTGCTAAGGGTTTAGCGGGGTAACTTATGTAATGCTTTGCCTTTGTGAACTCGAATTTTATTCTTGTTTAAGCCTTCATGTAAATGAATTGCCATATTGTTCTAGTTTATTATTCTCATATACATCTGATATAGATAAACTAACAGAACTAAAGGGAAGAAGTTGAAGATAAACAATAAAATAGCATGGCTATGCTTGCTTCACAAGACATGACCAGTGTCAATGATCAAAACAAAATCACCTTAAAGAAACGAGGGAGGTTCTATATCATTTGGAACAGGAGACTATTTACTTATCCGGTCTATCATGGTGACATCAAACCTTCCCCATTTCCCACCTAATAACCCTTGGAAAGTAGGGGACACGTGAACATTAATGGAAGTCCTGCTTGCTGTATTCGTCAACAGTCTCAGCCCAACATCTGTCAAGTGTTAGTGTGTATGTGTGTGTGTGCATGTGTGTGTGTAATTTGCTAGTGTGAGGTGTTACACACACACCATTTAAATAGCTGGAGTTACACACACACCATTTAAGTAGCTGCATTTAAGTACTATATTGTATTGCATTCATTATGGGTCATAAACAGCTTGAATAAAAGCAAAGTCTCTCACTTTTGCTTTTGCCCTGAAAGTATCCAAATGCTGAGTTCTGAGTATTTGAAATACCATTATTTTTTTTTTCCAAATGTTTCAGAACATATACTGTCCCACTGACCCCAGTGGTTAATAAGGTTGATCTGAGTAACTACGTAAGTGCCTTTTCTTTCACTATTTAATTTATTATTTTGACTATCTCATCCCAAATGTCCAGTAGATTTGGGAGGAGAATTCAAAGGTTTTCAAAATGAAGTTACAGTTAATGTCCTGACTGATACTCTACAACCTAGGGGTTTGCGAGGTCTGAGCTTTAGACCGAATCCTTTTCCTCTTCTGATTTATGCAACCCAAAAGGTAAGAGTAGATTTTACATTTTCAGTGGTTGGAAAATGTTAAAGAAGAAACATATTTTATGACACATGAAAATTACATGAAATTTAAATTTCAGCATCCATAAGCAAAGCTTATGGAACAGCCATGCCATTCCATACATATATTGTTTAAGGCTACTTTACTGATGTAGCAGCAAGGTGAGGAGCTGGAATAGACTAGATATTTTCAATCTTAAAATAATTACTACATTTCTTGTACAGAAAAAGGTGAAAACTCATGTAGTATAATTATCTTGTCGGAAGGAAAGGGAAACAAACTCTCAGAACACGCACTCTTGATGTATGATAAATCTAGAATTTCTAGATTTAGAAATTCTGAATAATTGAATTCTTTCTTTTCCCTAAAATGACAGATTCTCCAAAATGCTGCTTTTATGGCACAACCTTTTGTGACAACTTCTGCAATCACAGTATGATGTCTAAATATTTTATCACTTCAGATGTCTGCTGTCTATGATTTTCCTTTCTCCTTTCTCTTGATAAACAGTTTACTACAGGATATTGTCTATTTACTGTCCAGGTACACGTAGCTCTGTTTTGGTGCCTTTGGGTGTTCAGTTTCTATTCCAAATACTTTTTTCCTATTTTCTCCTGTTTATGTTTTTAAGTTTATCTCAATGTAGCTCCCCCTAATACCTCAATCTTACCAGGACAAGCTGATCTCTGAACTTCTCATACTTACCTTTGTCACTCTGACATATTCTTATGACAATAGTCTTGGATTTAAAAGTGAATTTAGTTTTATTAAGACAGGTAAAATTATTAAACATGGATCTCTGTTTAGACAAAAGACTCTCCACAGCTCCATGTGATCCAGTTGGAAGAGGCTATCTGAGCTGAGCAGAATCAGTTATTTCCATGGAAACATAAAGCCACAAAAAATAAATCCTAGGTACCAGGATGCCAAAACATCTTCTGGCTGAGGTAGAGTAAAAGATATGGAAGGCTGGAAGGGAGCCACCTGCAAGCATCCTTCCTTATATTTCATCCTCAAAGTGAAGATACACGGCAGATGAAAGTGGCCATAACTCACGCTGCATGAGACTCTGCTTTGTAACCACGTGTTCAGTCATGGTTCATCAGAGTGAAGCAAGTTCCCTAGTCTGAGATCATTCAGTGAATCTGACCACATTCATTTCCCTCAATTGTGTAGAAAGTTCACTCAAGGAGGAAAATATGAGATTATACATTCAGAGCATCCAGCACAGAGTGGCATCTGATGAGTGTAACTATGCTAAAGGCGAACTTGTAACTCGCAGTGCTGCAATTTCTTGAATGTATGAAAAGTACACTTTAGTCATTTTAATTCTAAGAACTGAAAAACAATGTAGAAGAAAATAGAGAAATATCCCTTTGGAGACAACTGTTTATCAATTTAGCCCCCAGATCACTAAAACTAATTACTAATAATGCATGTTCTACTTCATAAATTCAAAAAGATGAAGTCATAAACAAATGAATTTACTGTATTTTGCATACTCTTATATAGGATTTTAGTTTTGTTTCCCATTAGTTCCCACCAATCATATTAAAAAAAAGGGACCTGATTTTATTTGATGCATAAATCAGTCTGTAGATGCTATAATAAAAATGAGCTTCTGAAGAGTAAAAAAAAAAAAAATTAAAAAACACAAAAAATCAGGTGATTGCATTGCAATATACCCAGAGAGAATTTTCCTAAAATTGCTTATACAGTAATTGTTTCATGAAGAAAGGGATTGATTTTATCTTTCCTAAGATTTACTTTTCACATAAAATATGTAGCATATTTAATAATACTTTATCCTAGTCTTTCTAGAATTCAGGAGTAAAATAAGATAAACAAAGCATAGCCTTCAGAAAAATAAGAAATAGTAAAGAAATAAAATAAAACACAGGAAGAAGATCAATACTTGGGGCTAAAAGAATTATAATACTTTTTATACAGTAAAAAATTGAAGTGTGTTTGCTGAAAGAAAGGTATTATTCAAAGTGTCTTAGTTTTTTATTCTTTTTGCTTTAAATTCTGATTTTAGTTTTTTTCATTTTTTTATTTTAAAGACAAAAAACAATAACAAAATCACAACAACAAAGACAGAAACAATAAAAATAATATAGAATTTCAAAACAAGTTGATAGGAAATTAACAATGGTTGTTATTTTACATATAGTTATCTTCAAGGAAATTGCTCAGATTATCCATATGTAAGACTGCAAGACTGATCAAACAGTTAAAGAGAATAAAAATGATTAAAAAAACTAGAAACAATACAGAGCTTCACTAAACAAGATGATAGGAATTCAACAACATTCATCATTCGAGAAATGCAAATTAAAACAACACTGACATTCCATCTCACCCCAGAAAGAAATACTATCACAAGAAATCAACCAGTAACAAATGCTGGAGGGGCTATGGGGAAAAAAGAACCCTTCTTCACTGCTCTTGGGAGTGTAGACTGGTGAAATCACTATGGAAACCAGTGTGGAGATTCCTCACAAAACTAGGATTAGAGGTTTCACCTAACCCAGCTATTCCCCTTCTGGGTATTTTTCCAGAAACTCTGAAAACATCATACCACAGCAATATTTGTGCACCCAGGTTTATAGCAGTGCAATTTATCATAGATAAATCTTGGAAACAATCAAGATGTCTTATAAGTATTGATTTGTTTAAACATCCTAATACTCTATGAGATAGTTCCCTTTTTACAGATGAGGAGATTTAGAAGAAAAGATGCTAAGTACCTTGTCCAAATTCACGTTGCCAATATGTGGTGAATGTAGGATTTTAGTCTTGCTATTCTGGCTCCAAAGTTCACACCT